CCACAACACACAACCTTCGTCGGCGCAAGTATAACTATCAAGTCGTCGCCAATCAACATACATACCAGAAAGAGGCCTTCATCACAAGGCACCTCAAACATATTAATACTAACCAAAACTTTATCATTACATGACTAGTTTTTATTTATCGATCACCTTACTAACTCACCATCAAACATATTAATTATACTCATTAGAACTTTATCATTCAGAGTTCTAGTTTTTATTTATAGATCACCTCACTAACTCATTAAGTCACCATCTAGTCTATTAATCTGCCGTTACTTCATTTTATATTTCATTGTCAATTACTTTTCTTTTATTTTTTTTTTTACTATTATTATTTATTTTATTCTAACATATTTCATTTTTCACGTTTTAACATTTTTCTTCCTCACTTTCTGTATTTATTTACCCACTTATTTGTTTTATTTTGTTCTACTGCCTTGCAGATCCTGATTTTTAAAGAAAGTTTTTTTTTAAGAAAGATTTTAAAAAAAAATGTTTGCGTGCGTGTATGTATGTTTCTGTGTGTGTGTATGTGTATGTTTGAGAGTGTACGTGTTTGTGAAAATTCCACTATTTATATAAGTAATGAATGGTATTGTAGACATATTTTAATGGCGCTCACATCACCGAAATGTAGTTCATTGATATCCAGTTGTATATAATGTCATGTGTGTGTTTGGTTTGTGTGTGTGTGTTCGTGTGTGTGCGTATGTCGTCATCATTATCATCATTTCGTCATAATCATCATATCATCGACCTCATCGTCGTCGTCGTCGTGAGCATCATCCAGATGTCATTAAGTGATGGCAAACAAATACAACAACAACAACAATAATAATAATAATAATAATTATTATTATTATTATTATTTCTTAATTTATTTATTTATTTATTTATTTATTGAAACGTCATGAGAACAGCCAATCGCCCAGAGGCAGATAATGCAATGAATTTATTAATAGCAATAAGTAACTTAATATATAATATATACGAAGCAATTATAAATAATTTTATACTATTAATGTTTTACTATCATCATTATTCTCATTATTTTTATTATTATTATCGATAGTAGACGTTGTGGCAGCAGTAGTAGTAGCAGTAGCAGAAGTAGTAGTGACAGAGGTAATTATAGTAGTAGTAATATTGAAGAAATGGAGGAAAGAATGAGTGAATGAATGAATATGAATTGATGACTGTAAGGTTGACTGACTGACTGAATGACTGAATAAATGGACGAATGAATGAATGAACGAACGAACGAACGAATGAATAAACGATTGAATGAATGACTGAATGGCTGATTGGCTGACCCATTGACTGAATGAACGAACGAACGAACAAAATAACGAACGAATGAACAAATGAATGAATGAATAAATGAATGAATGAATGAATGAATGAACGAACGAACGACAAAATCAACCTGGTCTATGATCTGGCGGCGGTACTGATGTTTTGTGGAGCTTGAGGTAACTGTGTATAAAAAATATTTAAAATTATTATTTATCATGATTATCATTTATTCAATAATAATTTATTAAATCTTTAACAATAACAAAAATAATAATAATAAACATAATAATAAAAAAACACAAAATAATAATAATAACCGTGAAAATTTATTTCACATTCAAACCACATCCAAGCGTTATATAGTTAATAAACCCATTGCACACACACACACACACACACACACACAAACACACGCACGCACGCATAATACACGCATACAGTGAAACATATCCCATAAGAACACAGGAAAGAATTGATGTTTTGTAGCTAGCATCCTCTATTTAAGATAAGTAAACAATATTGAAAAACCTTGCATAAACGAAATCCGTTTGTATCATAAAATATACGTATGTATGTATGTATGTATGTATGTATGTATGTATGTATGTATGTATGTATGTATGTATGTATGTATGTATGTATGTATGTATGTATGTATGTATGTATGTATGTATGTATGTATCAAAAACCAAAACGATCGTCTTCAATTACATTACAATAAGTTAAAAAGAACCGTACAATATTACATTCAACAAATAGTCAAGAGCAAAACAGCAAAATTCTTAGACCAGAAACTAACTTTTAAACCCAATAAAAAGTTATTGTGTGCATGTTCATACGTGTAAATGTTCATACGTGTGTATGTTCGTATCGTACGTGCGAATGTTCGTATCGTACGTACGAGAGTGTACGCACGTGTGAGTGTGCGTGTAAGAAACACTAGTGTCATATGTTTATACATACTCATGCGTGTTTACTTTTAGAGAGCTGCGAATAGAAAGCCATGATGAACATTGAAAAGGGGGCAAAAATATTTTTAACAGGTGGAAAGGTATGTTGTAATTTAATCGTTTTAATAACCAATCAAAATGAACTAACCATACATACACACACACACGTACATACAAACACACACACACAAACACACATACATACACACACACAAATAAAAAAAACAAAACAAAATTGGTTTTACTAACACCATATAAAAAAGGATTTTAAAAAATTTGCCTAAGGCAATAAAAGTCAGTCAAGCTATTTTTACAATGGTCTAACTTGGTCTGACCTGTCAATCATTTTTTACCTAATTTTCTCCTAATTTTTCCCTAGATTTATTATAGGTAGCTCTGTCAAACTGTTAACAAGGTCACCAACCCGTATGAATGAATGTTTACGTGTGTATGTGTATCTGACTTTTCCACCCTAATTTCAATAATTCTCATCGCCTTCATTATCAGCAATAACTCCATCCTTTCGTCATCATCGCAGCGTCAACAGCAGCAGCCACAGCAGCCACAACAGCGACAACATCAGCCACAGCAGCAGCTTCATTAACATTGTCGTCCTCACGACTAATTTTTTTTTCTATTTGCTCAAATAGTAATAACAGCAATAACTAAATAACAACAATAACTAAATAATAACAATAACAATAATAACAACAGTAACAGTAATAACAACAATAATAATAATAATAACAATGAAAAATGACGTTTGAATGTTTGCAAGAGGGCAGATAACAATAATTATAATTATAACTGAAGCAGCAATAATAGTAGTAATGACCTTCCTTATTATTATTATTATTATTATTATTATTATTATTATTATTATTATTATTATTAAACATTATTGCCCAGCATCACATCATCATCGTCATCATCTTCGTCACCGTCCTCATCATCTTCTTCTTCATCATCGTCCTCATCACCATTTTCCTCATCATTATAACTTCACCATCATCTTCATCATCATCTTTTTCACCATTAGAAATTTCACCGTTAAACAAAAAAACATCTACTGTCTGTTTGTACAACCAACAGCTGTCATCTCATTAAATTAATTTTTCACATATAACTCTCTCTCTCTCTCTCCCTCTCTCTCTCTCTCTCTCTCTCTCTCTCTCTCTCTTTCTAATTTCTCCTTTTCTCTTTATCCGCTACTCCAATAGGTTCAATCAATCGATCAATCAACCAACCAGCCACTAACACATAAATTATTATTATCATCATTATCACTGGCAACACCATCACCATTATTATCTTCACGTTATACTGCCACTCTAGCATTCGAACCCAGGCTCTCAGTGACACAACTGTGAAAAAAAAACCAAAATGATGTAAAGCAAATAGCATAATGATCGTGTTTCAGGTAAGCCTGAAATGCAGACAGGATGGGTGTCCTATGTAGTATTATTAGCCGCTAATGCTAACAATTATTTGCAAGTGCACGTGTCTTTCTGTCTTTCTGTCTTTCTGTCTGTCTCTGGATCGGTCGATTTATCAATTTCACTATTATTCATTTGCAAATTGGTTCATTCATTCATGCATTCGTTCGTTCGTTCGTCTATCTATTCAAACTTCCAGCCATCCATTTCACAATAACACACAATAACACACTCCATCCATCCATCTATCCATTTACGAATACACACACAAAATACAGTCACATGCATACATACACACAT